TTCCAAAATTAAAAGATGGGAACGTGTTCTCATCGAATACAAACTTCAGCCTTAATTTTTAAAATATAAACATTTCATTAGAGGAATCAAACTCTAAAGGTTGTATACAATGTACTGCAAAGTATATTTATTAGTTAAAAATTTTTGTAAAGGGCTGTCAAATTTATAAAAAACTAAATCAAAATAAATCTATCTGTTTAATCCACTAAATCAAACTATTATATATTTACATAAACTGTACATATGATTTTTTAATTAATTATTAAGCTAGGAAATTTTATTTGATTGAATTAGGTAATTAGATGTTTTATTAATTGAGAAGATAATATTTATGTGGCTAATAACTGGTGTCTCACTTCTAATTAACTGGTGTCTAGTGGATGACTGTTTACTAATATAACAGTCAGTAAAATTTTAGCTATTAAAGATTATTTTTCTTGTATAGATAATACTATGGCCATGTAATAGATGAAACACTAATGTTGTAATTTTTTCAATAGATGTTTAGGGTTTGTTTAGAACTGAGAGATTTTTAAGCTTACTAATTTTTACATAAACACAATCTACCTTTGAATAGTTAGCTTGTGGACTTCTAAGTCATTCTGAATTTTTAGATGGCATTTAAACTGAAATGTGGTCCTGTTACAGAGCTCTACACTGTGGGTTATTCCTACTGATTAATGTGACGTTAGAAGTTACTTACCTTTACTTCTTTAGTTCAGCCAGGGCAAATGCATTTGTAGCAAATATAAAAGTTCAAAATCTATGACTATGATATTTAATTATACTTAGGAACATTGAATCTTGATCTTGGAAAAAATTTTTCCTTCACTCTAACATGTAGAGAATAATCTTTGAAACAGAGTATCTTAATTCGTAAATCATTGTAATGGTAATGTTCCAGCATTTACAGCTATTAATGTATCTGGTTGTTTTTACAGAAATTTAAATACTTTTTCATCTTAATTCAAGAACAAAGATCATTTTCACATTCAACTCTTAATGTCCGAAGTAGATGTGAGGATCTTACTCCTATATCAGGATTGTAAAGTAAACTATAAGCTAAGTCTTTATATGTTCTGTGACACATCCTTCAAATCTGAATAAAATGTGTAACTGCTATTATACTATTGCTACTTTATGAAATTTTCTATCAGAATTATATTTTTAACTTTGAATTTACATTAGATATTCTTCTCATTTTGATATTTCTATGCTGTATACTATTAATAGATGTGGTCTTTTACTTAAGTCAATTGTTATGATATAATCAAATAATTTAGAATAATAATAATAAGAGCTTGATACAAAACAGCATTATAAAGATTAATGTTAAACATATAAACTTGCATTTCATGTATAAAAGAACTGAACATTGAAATTCTGGTGATAAGTATTGATCTGTTTAAGTTAACTTTGAAAGAGAAATGATCATTAGTCATATCACTCAGTCATTCATTATACATCTCTTTCAGGTCTCTATATTGTTTTAATCACAGACTGAAATTTGTTTACTCAGTCATTCATGATACATTTCTTTCAGGTCTCTATATCTTACTGAGTGTAAAAGATCCTTGGAGCAAAGCTGGCTACATATATGGTGCTGTGCAGTTGACACCTCTAGTGTATCTCTTAAATTATAACTCAGAAAATGAAATTAAAATTGAAAAGAAACTAACATATTGTCAACCTTATACACCACCACCAATTACACCTTATCCACCTGGACCATCTCCAAGTTGTCCATCATTTCCTTATTCCTGTCTCAACTGTCATCATGACATAGACTATAGATTGGAAGAAATTATTTGTACATTTGATTTCCGTAAGTTCAGGCATAACAAAACATTGTTGACCTACATTGTATTTAAATAACTATTAAAATAGTTTTACTATCCTTCTTTTTTAAGTTTATGAAAAAAGAATGCTTTGCCATTTCTTTATTGGAATAATAACGCAACCATCTAATGTAAAAATAGTGTATTTT